GACTCTACATTATTCTTTAGTGCTGCATAGCATTCCATTGTGTGTATGTAGCATAGTTTGGTCATCCACTCTTCATCGATGGGCACATAGATTGTTCCTATCTTTTTGCTATTGTAAATAGTGCTGTGATGAACATGAGTGTGCATATATCTGTTCCTATCCTGGTTCTCACCTTTCTAGGATATATACCTAGTAACAGGATTGCTGGGTCAAATGGTATCTCCAATGCCAGCTTTCTAAGGAATTGCCATAGTGCTTTCCACACTGGTTGTATTACCTCAAAGTCCTACCAGCAGTGTATGAGAGTCCCAATCTCTCTACATCCCCGCCAGCATTTGTCATTTTCTGTCTTGTTGAACCTTGCCATCAGTGCTGGGGTGAGATGGCATCTCATTGTTTTGATTTGCATCTCTCTGATGGCCAGTGATTGTGAGCATCTCTTCATGTATTAGCTGGCCACCTGTATATCCTCCTTGGTGAAGTATCTATTCATGTCTTCTGCCCATTTTTAAATTGGATTTTGTCTTTTTGTTGTTGAGGTGTTGGAGTTTTCTATAAATCTTAGAGCTAAGTCCCTTGACAGATATGCAATTATCAGCAAGTATGATTTTGTTGCTGTCATTTTGTTATGTGCTTTTTTGTGATGTTGATTTCTTTGTTCCATATAATTTTCTATGCTGAGCTCATTTTGTTTCTGAATCATGTTATCACTCCCTTTGTTTTTCTATTATTTCAGTATTTGCTAAATATTTGTGCTGGTCCTCTTTTTAATTTTGATGTGAAGGTTTATTATTTTTCTTTGAGGTTACCCTGTGATTTATAGGTTTCTTCTCAAATTTAGAACAGTCCATTTTATCTTGTAGTTGTCTTGACTTCCCTACCAATTAGAATTCTGTAACTACACAATTTTTCCTCTCTTTTTGGTTTGTAGTTGTCCTCATTTCTCAATTGATGTCTCTGGTTCCCTATTTACAATCTTGTAGAATTATTTACTTTGGATACTTCCATAGCTGGGTTTGTTTCTGGGTTATGTCACCATGTATGTTAATGGTCAGTTGTTTTGGCTGTTGTTGCTTCTCTGTCCAAAGGGCTCCCTTTAGCATCTCTTGTCAGGTTGGTCTGGTTTTAACAAATTCCCTTCATTTCTGCTTATCTGCTTATCATATTTGAGGGACAATTTTGCTGGGTACATAATTCTTGGTTGGAAATTTTTCTCTTTCAGGGTTTTATATATACCATCCCATTGTCTTCTCGCCTGCATGGTTT